TATAGGAATAAGCCACGTGAATCCTGTGGACCAATGATTGGTTTGCAGGTTAGGTTTCTGAAGTGGAGCGCTGACAGCGCTGTAGAACTAAGCTGAAAACTCTACATAGGTACTGCTACTGCACACTATAAGCTCAAAAACCAGATGCATAGGCACAAACAGCACACATTCTTTGTGACTGTCTGACAGGTGACTCACCAGAGCATCTTATTTTTGGTAGGGAAACTATCAAGTCAGTATACTTGAACATTGACTTGATCAATATAATAGTTATCTTAGACATCATGATTAAGCTAAAGCTAGGTTTGCTTGGAGAACATTTTTAGGTTAGGTAGGTACGTAACTAGCTTTGAATATAAAACTACAGGAAGGAGCGTTTTCTATCTGTCACTACAGACAACGCAGGGACGGAAACGGCAATTTTGAGCCTCCAAGTATGGACTCATCATTTGTTTTGGTGGTTTGCTGTGTCCTCATTCAAGTGGATGTTTAATGGATTTTAGCGGTTTTAAGTGATAATAAGTAATGGAATTAGTGAGAAAAGAGTGAGTCATAATATTGACAATCATATTTAAATAAATATACGCCACTGCCAAACCGGAAATACTAGTCGGCCATATGCAACCTCCACATATTTTGGTCGCGCAGATTCGAAGTTATGCTCCTTCCTGTAGTTTTATATTCAAAGGTAACTAGCAATTAAATCAAAACTCATACCTTATGTTTAGAGTTTCCATAAAGGTTTTTCGGAATTCAGGGCAAACAATAGTCAAGAAATCCGGACAAAATCCGGGGTCGTATTTTCGAATTCATTCGAGTACACTTCGTACACGAAATTTGACTGACAGCAATGTAAATTAAATGGGGAGCATTCAAATTCGTATGCGAGAATATTCGAAAATACGACCCCCGGACGCATTTTTGTATCGAGCGCCCAGTATACCGCATTCGGGTAACGTCGTATAAACCGAAGTCTGTCTCATAACGAGCGTCTGAGTTCCCGATCGATTGTCAAGCTACCGTTCGCTTGATACTAGGCCTGCGAAATTATGGATCGGCGTCCAACAATTCAGTTTTTTTTTTTTAATTGTTTATCATTTATTATGGACTGGCCAGAAAATTATATATAGGTATCACATTGTCAATTCCAGCGAAATACGAACTAATTTTAATACTAAGCAGGAAGTCGAGGTAAGTGAATAAGTAAGAGCAAAATTATGTTTTATCTACATAACCTTACCATGAATAGAATACCATGGCGAGAAAACCGTAGAATAGGCCACTTTCACGTTTTTCGAAAACATTTTTGAATTACTGTGTTAGTCATTCTTCCAATGACATTATCATCCGTATACTTTTTTCTCCAAAAAAACTGCCTATTTTTTGAAATATGTTAGAACGATTTGAAAATTGAATTTTTAATGCAGGTAAAAATTAACAAGATTTTGCTATTTACTAGGCATTTGTATACCTGCAATCGTTATTTGACAAATGCGGAGATTAGATTCAGGCAGATTTAAATAACTATTTATGATGCTGTCTCTAAGTAACAAAACTAACCAAAACTAACCCAAATTAAAGATGAGCAAAAGGTTAAGGTAAGGACAGCCTTAGGGTTAGTTTGGAATAGTTTGTTAGAGACAGCATCAAATAACTAGGCAAATAGCAAAATCTTATTATTCTTTAAGTTTTTTGATACTTGCCATTCCACTTAGTGAACTACGAGAATTAAAATTGTTTTACGATTTGACTACCAGAACCAAAATTAAACTAATATTATCAAGTAGCTTGATGACGAGGAGCCAGGGAAAGTCAAAAAGATATTCGTGGCTGTAAGCGCGAGTATCGAGCGTACGGTAATCCGAGTGATTTTCGTACTACCGTGCCCTTGATACGTGCCGATGAGGTCGGGTACACCGAATGCGGGTTACTGGACGCTCGATACAAAAATGCCCCCCGGACTTCGCCGAAAAAGCTATTTATGCAACAAAGTGTGTAAAGTGAACCTTTTTTTACGAATGTGAATTCTGACAATAATCACATGAGTGCAAAAAGGTTCACTCTACACACGTATTGCATGTAAAAAAATTTCTACTACAAATAAAATATGTGTAAAAAAATAAATTTAGACGAATACTGTCGACATCTGTCATTGACATTACCTACTTCACGCACTAGTGTGTAAAGTGAATTACTTCACGTACAAGTGCCTGAAGTGAAATTTTACGTCTTTTAAAAAGGCCGTAAAGTGAGTACTTTACGCACGGTATAAGAAAAAAATAATTTAATTTTTTATGGAGGATGAATTTTGTTTATTTTTTGCGAAAATACATTTTTACAGGAATTCATAAATAACCGTAACGATTGAAATATTTTACAAAGTTAGGTTGTTTTCACGATCTCCGAGTTTTCCGGACATTCTTCCGAATTCCGGCCGGACTTCCCCGGACGCCCTAAAAACCCAAACATGTCCGGGTAAATCCGGACGTATAGAAACCCTAATTATGTTTGATAATGGAAAATAACTACCTTCATTTTATTGCAAATTTATATAAAAGAAATAAATAGTAACATTTAAATATTGTAACGTTTGGCAGGTGTAAGAATGCTATAAAAATATATAAGTACAGTCAATTCACTTTCTTTTTTTTTAGTTGGGGGCTATGAAAATCTGGGAAAATTATGGTAGCCCGAAAAATGCCCATTGCCCAACAACGTTTGAACAATGCAAACGTGGTGTGATGTTAACTTCTTTTGTCGAATGGAAAGTTTGCCAAATGTTAATATTTCAATAAAACAATTATTTATACTATTAGTGAAAATACGTATTGACATTAATGACATTGCAGGTACATGCCGATTAATGTTTTATAAAATATAGGTGATTGAAGCTCTGTTCCAATCGACATGCGAACCGTACTAGAACGGTATAGTTTCCAGTCGATCAATTTATTTGTTAAGTAGGATAAACGTTCAACTCATTGAAAAATAGGTGGACAATTAGAAATTACTGGTTCTGGAACGGTTCTCATGTCAGTTGGAACAGAGCTGATGAAAACGTCTCTATAGTAATTGAAAAAATGTCAACAAAAACACTACAAAAATGTTCTAAGGAAAATATATCAAAGTGCCGCATCGATACCAGCAACTGGGAGACAAAGGCAAATGATAGGGCCTCATGGCCTCGAGTAGTCCACGACGGACCACAAACCTTTGAGGAACAGCAAGGCAGACACAAGACCGAAAAGAGGAACCACAGGGAGGAGCGAAAGAAGAGAACAAGAGACAATGCTGCCAGAGGCTGGGTGTGCCACGACTGTGGAAGAGGGTGCGACTGCAGAATTGGTTTATGCATATAGCCATCAGAAAACGTACAATCGACGACAATAAGAATAAGAATAGAACATGGAATATTCATACTAGGTATCGAGTGATCGCTTATGATGATGATAATAATGTTATACAGGGTGGTCCATTTAACTTGAGACAGTCTAATATCTCGAAAACGGTGCGTTTTTGAAAAAATAAGTTCAAATAAAAGTTACATGGTATCATGTGAGAAACAAAATGGCGTACTGATTTTTGACTTTGACAACGTTTTCTAGGTTATTTCAAGGTCAACTCTTTTTTTTCACTGGAAATATATTTTTTTATCACAGAATCTTATTCTACAGAAAAAAACAAGTAACTTTTACTTGAAGCATTTTTCGATCCGGTTTCAATTTAGGCTGATAAAAAAGAACGAATAATTTTTTTGTTTTCTCCTCACAAAATCGAACAGTAGAGAAAGGTTACCAAAAATACCTCGGGGGGCGCAGGTTCAGAATTATCAACAATGATTTTTGATACATTTATTCCGACTTTACTTGTAGGCTAAAGATTCTAAAGGGTGGTCTAATCTGGACCCTTTTGATAGGAAACGTCAAGTTCTGAGCGAGATACAAAAAAAAAATGAACCCCATACGCTGAGGCTTAAATATCATGAATTTTTGATTGGTGCAAACTTTTTTTATTTCTAAAAATACTTGATTTTTCTATAAACTTTCTAGAAGTGCCTACTTTTTCAAGCAGAATCCTTACTAAATTTTTTTCTACTTGGTGCCGATTTTGAGATATTGACCAAAGTCTTATTTTTTTAATAGGAGGACCTATAACACTCTGGCCGAAATTTATTTGGAGCCCAATTTATCTCTGAATATATTTTTTTCAATTCGGCGGATTTTTGTGTGAAAATTAGGGGGACTTTTCGTGACTTGTTGAGAAAAAATCTAATCAAAGTGTACAGTGTACAGGGGGAGCCAAGTAAGAAGCAGTTCATTGACTTCGAGGCCGTTGCAAAATTAAATTTTTTACCTAATTTTGCAACGGCCTCAAAGGCAATGATTAAAAATAGTGCTTTTGAAATGGCTCCCCCTGTATATTTTGATTAGATATATTTTCTACAATAACTAAGGAAAGGCCGCAAAGGCCACCTAATATTCACACAAACAAAATTTCAGAAAACACCGCCGAATTAAAAAAATAAAATATATATTCAGAGCCAAATTGGGTTCCAGATAAATTTGGCCCACAATGTATATTAATAACTTATTGGATAGCTCTATTCGTGCTTATTCTAATCGTACAAGGTTCAATAATAGGTCTCAAACAGTTTTGGAGAAAAAAAAAATTATAACTGCTTTAGTAGTTAGTATCACTATCCGATAAAAACAAAACGATAAATTGAACAATGGTGTTAGCTTGGAAAATTTGTCTTTAACATTTTATTTGAAAAATTTTCTATTAAATTTTATTGGAGAATTCTTCTATAAAATTTTTCTATATATATATTATGATTTTCTTCAAATGTTTTGAGTTTTAAAGTGGTTTTTCAGGCTCTCAGGGGGGGGGGGGGCGCCCCCGCGCCCCTCCCCTGGGTCCGCCACTGTATATTTTTGTATTATAGACAGTTACCAGCAAGTTTATCAAGATCAATAGACCAAAAAAACTCATCTGCCAAGTAGAAATCATTGTTTTGTTTATTGGCTATACAAATTCACTCGTCCAGCATTCTGTTATTAGAAAAAACATGGTTGTTATAGGTATTTATCTCTTTCAACTTCTTCCTGCTGTACTTTCTTGGTCACTCCAGTTGGGAAATGGAGATATCAAAAACTCGCCTACCTATTCGATTTGAGTATAATGTAATAATAAAGTTTAATAATAGAAAAAAAAAACTGGTAGCAAATATTGTATTCTAAAGCTAAATAAGGCCTTTTTATATTGTATATATATATATATATAACTTAATAATACTTTTGGCATGTTTGCCAACTTCATCCAACAATGGTAATCAGCGTTTTCTTGTAATCTCCTGAAGTGTCCTGCTGAAAATAAAGATGATTAGCAAGTTAGACATGTCTGATAAAATAACCAGAAAACAGAAAAAGATAAACTAAATCATTAATTATTTCTCGAAAATTAGAAAACAAATGCTTGCGCCTTTTTTTCAAACTTCCATGAGCAAAAGTGAGTGAATATTTAGCTATGTTATAGAACTCATGACTAAGTACACCAGTATTAAGCAAGAAGATATACAATACAAAACCATTCCACAATAGCAAGTGAATAATTAAAACATGCTATTACTTACATCTATTCTTTCAGCCAAAGTTTTTCCATATTTTCCTTCAAAAACTTCTTTTATTTCTCCTAGATCAAGTTCGGATCTTCCAACGATTATTCTTATAAGGGTTCGATCATCAGTGCCTATTCCTGCCATCGAATCGTGAATTCTAAAAAAAGTTCAAATTGAGAGAAGCCTAGGAAGTAAATTATTCTGGTTTTGTCTGCTATCCTACCAAAATGAGCTTACACTTATTTGCATTCTTTCCATTGCATTGAAGGAGGTCGATGGTGAAGTGATAAATAGATTTTGTTCTGTATTAGTTTTTTATTGTTTTTTTTTTAATTCTAACCAAGAACATGAAAAGAACGATGAAAGATAAAAAAGTGTAAGTTTAGTAAGAATGATACAAAGTTGGAATATTTAATTGAATTTCTTTCAAACAAAATAACTTGCCTACCTTGTAGTTAAAAATTCGATAGGGTCTCTGACACATTGAACCAACTGCAACAGAGAATCCTTAATATTACCAGAAAATTCATTCTCAATAGCTTTCTCAATTGAATGCCCAGTTATGTTTTCATATTCGTGGAATATTCTTCTCAACTGGGGACGATTTCTTTGACAAAGAACCTAAAATTTGAAGTAGAATAATTATTGGCGCCAAAAACTTCAATTTATACGCATTACCATGTTGAATACAGATTCTTCAGTTCCTCCAAACAATAGTTCTCCTGCCTGCAAAAGGGCTTGGGCATCAGCACGAGCTGATTCTTCGTCCACTTCATCAGATTCATCTCTGTGGCCCTAATAAGACACTTGTGGTAATTATTATGAAAAAGTTGAGAAAAACCACCACCAAAAATGACCTTTCCGGTTGAGCTGAGGTAACCGGAAGGACTAAAAATAGTTGGAAGGCAGAACACAATTCTGATATACTACTTAACACGTTCGCGGACAATTTCTAAAAGTATGTTGTGCTTAGAATGTCAATTTTTGTATTTCCATGTTTGGTGTGGTAAATTGGTTTTAAGATCCGCCGTGAACTGGACAATTTTGAGGTGAATAGACACTGTGGCAGGACTAATAAATTGAAAATACATGTAGCTATATGGGACCAAAGACGGCTAGAGCCGTTATTTGTTTATAGAAGAAAATTGGGGTGACTGCTATAGATGTCATGTCCCAGGCAAGGGAGGAGAATATGACGGCTTTAGCCGTACTGTCCGCGAACGTGTTAACAATAATTCATAAGATTTTCTTTAACTGACACTCGAACTGACATAAGTGGAAAAATATTTTGTGTGAGAAGAATACCTTGTTTAATTTGGGGGCCCCAAATATTCCGGGGCCCTCCCGCACAGCGGGCCCTGCGGGCCTGTCAGGTACGCCACTGTTCACGAACATCGAAACAGAGGCGTTTTGGGGTATTTTAACGTCGATTTCAAAAAAACGCTCGGATACGTCAATTTTGTATTCAAGGGGGAATTTTTTTGACACTATCGGTATTTCGCTAGGGTGCACCCCAGGTGGGTAACACTTTCCTAACTTTTCTCTCGGACACGTAAATTTTATTTTTTTGTGTGCTTCCGAAAAAATTGAAATTGATGTGTCCGAAAGGAAAATCAGGAAAGTATTAATTTGAGAATAACAGGGCCACAGAAGATTGTTTCTTATTTAGCCTATAACAACTTTGACAGTAAAATCTTGAGAACTAATCATTCGATTTTCAAAAAAGGTACATAATTGTGACGAGCATCAAAATACCTTTACAACAAGGTACCACTCGACCCATCTCCATGAGCATCTCCCCTATCTAAAGAAGGAGGGGTGAAAGTCACCCCACCCAGGGGGTGTACCCTAGCGAAATACCGATGGGGTCAAAAAGTTTCCCCCTTGAATACAAAATTGACGTGTCCGAGCGTTTTTTTCTTTAAATCGACCTTAAAATGCCCCAAAACGCTTCTGTTTCGATGTTCGTGGAACACCCTGTATATAATTTGCTTATGAAGTTCATATTTCTTTCCACGCCATTCTGACGTTATTACTTGAACTAGAATTCTCAAATTCGGAATAGTAGTTCTTCCGGATATGGCTAGAACCTAACGGAGCCAGATTTTCCAATTTCGATCTAGAAAAAAAAAGGCAAAAAACGAACTCTGGGCGCGTTTAAACTACGACCAACGCTACGACCCCGCATCGAACTATCCACGTTCGTCGCGTGTTCGCACAGAGGCAGTGTTGCCAACTATTTTTTTTTCAGAGAGATTGAAGTTGACCACTAAAAAACAGGTAGGTATCCACCTTTCTTCCACTGGCCTGGTGTGGTGGAAGAAAATAAATATTTTTTAGCAATTTTACATTGCCTGGGCAGAGGCAGGCCTATGAATCAGAATAAAGAAATAAAAAGGTTTTTAAAATTGGGGAGAAATTTAAAGCTGCCTGTAACTTTTCCATAAACTCATCAAGTTGTGATTTGTTTTCGCCATTATTATTTTCTGGAGAAAAGAGCTCGAGCATGTGCTCTCAGACAGGTGCTTATCAAAGACTTAAAAGAAAAACTCCCAGTACTGCATGAGTCGATTCAGAGCGACCAAATGACAATAAAACACATAGACAACTATATTAAATATGCTTTCATTGAAAAAAAAAAGTTTATCATTAACAAAATTGCTTATTTTTTATTTTTAACTTTATTTTGTCACTGTCCCACAATCCTATCAATCAGGTTGAAAAATTCCTAAATTTAGTTAATTTTCTGGGGTTTCTCTATGTTCTTAATGCATAATAAATTGACTATTATTATCAATGCATTGACCTTATCTGCGGTATATTAGCGGGCACAGCAAGTGGAATAGTTGATTTTGTGAAGTTTAACTAAATAATTATGGGTAAAAAACCTTGAATCAAGAAATATTATATGTGGCATGGAATTATATGAATCATGATCTGCATCAAATCTCGTGATATTTGAACTCACAAGATTAATGTCGATCATAATAATATAACGCCAACACATGAGTCATAATAATTCCGAGTGAATTTTTAGGTACCTAAGCATCAATGTTGATAACAAAATTCGTGTTATCTTTACAATGGCTCAAGTCTATCCTCTAAACAGACAATTTTGTCAGGAGTTTTGTGAAACCTCATTCAGTTTCAGTTTATTAACATTACCATTATGAAAAATAGAATTTCAATCCATTGTGCGCAAATTGCTTGAGACTGAAATTATTCAACAGTTCAATATCTTTAAGGAAAGAAATGTATTATGTATTATCAATTTAATAGGAGAGGTCGAGTTTCATGGTATGGTATAGACATATACAATACAATGTATGAATAACAACACTTACATTTGCTAAAGACACCAGAAGTCGTTTCAAATGTCCTGAACTGTCACCTTTGATATCGGCCTCTAGAGATGTTTGATACACTGAAAAAACATATAAATTTATTTCATGAAAGCATCTGCTTTGAAAAATACTTACAGCCTTCATAAGCATTTGCAATATTAACCACTTCTTCGTTATTATGAATACCCAAAATTTCAACGATGGTAGGTTCGTCGGTACCAAGACCGCTAATAGCGTGATGCAGCTCTTTGGCTTGAAATTCGATAGGGTCAGTCATAAGGGCTACAATAACATCTTCGAAATTTCCTCTTAGCTCAGATTTTAATTCTTTCATCAGATCCTAAATAATAACAGACAAAATATTAAGAGCTTCCATGAAAACGATGTGAAATCCCATGTATAGTCGATCTTCAGCCTTATATGACTTGATTCGAACAACCACAAATTTATTTATTAGATATATCGGAAAATAATCGATGAAAGCTTTTCTAGTAGGCACGCAAGGCTACCCTTTTGAATTAAATAAAAATAGAATAAAATTCAAATTATTTATTTTGTTAGATAGGTATAGGTACACACCAAACAAAAATAGTGATGAATTAGAAATTTGGCGGCATTTCTCCAAAATACCAAAATAGGTCGGTGATGTAACAATTATTGTAATAAATCAAATTAGATTTTTTCAAAAAAATTCTTGTACCTATGTTGGTTGATTATCTTTACCTAAGAATAATACTGTCAAAATTTCAATAGACACATCATTACCTTTCCAAACATAGTTTTAAAAGCAACTGCAATTTGTCTCCGTTGTTCATTGGTCCTTCTTGCGATAATGTCAATAACCGTATCTTCATCTGTTCCAAAACCCTTAAACGCTTCTTTCAATGCTTTAGCATCAGTTTCAGCATCAAAATCTCCAGATGGTAAAACAGTGGGCTAGAAGAGAGAAAAGGGTTGCAAATGTTTTGAAATAAAATGTATTTGCATTTGTATCTGTGATTATTGGTCAGCAAATATTGCTGTGATTTTTTTTTTCCTTCCCAGCCTTCAATCTTCTAAAACTGTGTTTTTAAAACGGAACCTAAACTTTTAAATAGTATACAAATTATATTTAATACATTCTAAATATACCTACTATAAGAACACAGATAAAGTGTATAAATAAGTGAATAACCTGTATTATATTTGAATACTTGAAGGCTGAAATATTACCACAAGCACTAGCTATTAAAAGAGAAATAAAATTACTTACAGTTCTGCCCATTTTTCCTACTAAATCCAAATTTCAAATAAAAAAGATGTCGATTTCGCCGCAACGCGTTTCTGTGCACAAAACTGTGAGCTATAAATTAAATTGAAATTATTTTACAACACCGGAATGAACGGATCAGTTAAAACATTTGCAATTAGCCTTGTAAAAGTTGTAAAATAAATATTTCACTGCGCACCACTCCCGCCGGTTTCCTGCTAGCTAGACGATTCACCTATATCAAGGTTGTGCATACTCTAACGGTTTGTACGTTTGTACTGATCGAGGAACATAAAATCGTACTAGTTTTTGCGTATTTGAAGCGAACGAATATTTGTCTGTCTATCATCATCAGAAATTAAGCAGTTTATACCTATTGTGGCGTTTTTTGAAAAACAAACAGGATTAGGAAGAACGGGAACAATGATGATAGAAAGATGTTGGGTGGTATGAATAAAAACGAAGTACTTACCTGCTACTACTACAAGTACCTATTAGTATATTCTAGGCAGTATATTTACTTTAAAAATAAGGATTTACTAATTTCCGGTAGTTTCGAAATGTAGTATCTACTTCGTTTTAAAGTAAATAATATACTTACTATTGAGAATCTACTAATAATTGTAGTAGTAGCATATACTTCGTTTTTATTCATACCACCCATTAAGTAGTAAGATCGCCAAATTGTTCCAGAATATTCGATAAGAGCTCAAAAGCAGAACAAAAATCGTCAAAGGCGAAATAGGGATGGTTCGCGAAGAATTGGAGAAGAAATAGGCATAGAAGACTGGAGAAGCGGCGGAAGCAGCAGCAAAATGGACATGCCGGTGAGTTCTCTCGTTCGCGGCCAACTCAAACCACCACCTTTTGATCATTATCATCATCATCATAGGCGATCACTCGATACCGAGTATGATTATCTTCTATTCTATTCTCATTGTAGTCGATTGTTCGTTTTCTGATGGCTACATAAACCAATTCTAGAGCCGTATACTCTTCCACAGTCTTGGCACACCCAGTCTCTGGTAGCATTGTCTCCCTCTGTTCTCTCGCTCCTTCCTGCGGTCCCTCTTTTAGGTCTCATGTCTGCGTCGTTGTTCTTTAATAGTTGGTGGTCCCCGTGGACTACTCGACGCCATGAGGACCTATCATTTGCCATCGTCTCCCAGTTGCTGGTAGTGCTCTACGTTCTGCAAAGAATAGCCATTTATAGTTATATTTGGGGCTTGGGAATTATTATCCGGTGCGGGTTGGTGCAGAATCTGCGTCTTGTTAAAGTTGATCTCTAGGCCGATTCTCCTGTATGCCTGGTTGAACATATTGATGATTGCCTGGAGATATTCCTCTGTATATTGGCCATCACTTTTGATCAATGTATAAACGACAGTTTGAGGCTGCTATTAGTGCAAATGGATGGAATGAAAAGCAAAAAGCAACAGCATTGGTACTGGCATTACGAGGAGAGACGTTCGAGATTCTTTAGAATATTCCTGAGGAGGAGACTGTATCAAGTGGAGCATACTTTTGGGTTCGGAGAGTATCAAGGAGAGTTGAAATCTATTAGGTCAGCCAAGAAACACAGTAAGCCATTGATTTTGCGAAACAAGTGGCTGATGTCTTTGTGCAAGATAAATTTACCGGACAAACCAATCCATTAGAACATCGCACCAATATACAAAGGAAGTGCCACATCTATTGGCCAACCTATACGAGAACTTTTTTGCCTCGCCAAAATTTGCCAGGATTTCTTTTCAATCGTTTGGTCACGTAGATCTTCTTATTTCGCTATTCTATTGTGTTAATTTTGCGGCTTGTTGATATTTTTAAAGTTACCTAATAATACTTGATGTTATTAATATTTATTGTTGTTATTTGTTATAGTTTTTCGATTTAAAATCAAGTATGAAGTAGCACTAAGACAAGGTAACTCAAAATACGGCCCTGTCCAAGTTGATAATCACGTGCACAATGCAGGATTGTATTTACGGTTGGTCTATCTTGGAAATAAATAGACTTTCGGTCATCGATCTTACAGCTATTCTAATATTAATAACGAAGCCGTCTGACCTTATTTCAATTAATTATTTCCTTTAAAATATCTGCCAATATTAGGTGTTGGCAATAATGTTAGGCTATAATGTACAAAATCTAGTACGATTTTAACAAAATTTTATCGTCTCCTGAAAGTAAATGGTGGCGACAGATATTCTACAGGGTGAGTTTTTTAAAGTGTTACAATGCGATATATCAAAAACAGCTGCAATTTTTTTTTTGACATTTTGGTGACGTAATAAGTACACGGGGGGGACACATTTTACGATATTTTGGACATTTGCCCCGTCACTCTCTTGAGAGGAGTGAGGGGTCATTTTCTTATTTTAAATGGAAATATGTGTTTTTTATTCTGAAATGCGATTCTACATACAAAATGGAGTCTGTTCACAAATTATTTTTCAAATAGTTCAACTAAATATGGAATTATGACTAAAAAGGTAACTACAATGGAAAAAATTCTTATCGCCTAATTTTTAATTATCTATCGTCTATTATGCCCAAGAAGTTGTTCAAAATGACCGCCTTCGACTTCCAAACATTTCCTTATTCTTTCCCGGAATGAATTTCGTACTCGTTGTAACATTGCTGGAATCACCAATAAACATGCAGAACGAATTATATTTTTCATGTTCTCTGGAGTCGTAGAGTAGGAACAGTAGCCATCACTTTATCCTTAATAAATCCCCATAAAAAAAAATCAAGCGTGGTCAAATCTGGCGAACGAGCGAACAAGAAAAATGCGCGAAAATTACCATTTTTTGCATAATGTTATTTTTTCTGTTGAAGCTTCTTTCAATAATTGTGGCCAGGTAAGATTCAAATTATTTTTTACTAGTTCATATTCAGTTTTTGTTGTTTGTCTTTCTGAAGGTGAACAGACATAATATGCATTATTGGGCGGCGAATAATCCTCACTGGATGAGAACTGTACCAAATCAACATCCCTGGTCTATCAACGTATGGTGTGGTATTATCGAAGATAGAGTTAATGGCCCGCATTTTTTTCAAGGTCATTTAGATGGACAGGTGTACGAAGTTTTTTTTAAGAAATCAGTTACCTAGATTACTGAATCAGAAATTAATCCAGACGTATGGTTTCAGCACGACGGAGCTCCACCCCACTATGCCATACAGGCCCGTAATCCTTTGAATAGATTATTTGGAAATGGGTGGATTGGTCGGGGTGGTCCTGTCAACTGGCCTGCTTGTTCGCCAGATTTGACCCCGCTTGATTTTTTTTTATGGGGATTTATTAAGGATAAAGTGATGGCTACTCCAGAGAACATGAAAAACAGAATTCGTTCTACATGTTTATTGGTGACTCCAGCGATGTTACAGCGAGTACGGAATTCATTCCGGGAAAGAATAAGGAAATGTTTGGAAGTCGAAGGCGGTCATTTTGAACAACTTCTTAGGCATAATAGACGATAGATAATTAAACATTAGGCGATAAGAATTTTTTTTATTGTAGTTACCTTTTTAGTCATAATTCCATATTTAGTTGAACAATTTGAAAAATAATTTGTGAACAGACTCCATTTTGTATGTAGAATCGTATTTCAGAATAAAAAACACATATTTCCATTTAAAATAAGAAAATGACCCACCACTCCTCTCAAGAGAGTGAAGGGGCAAATGTCAAAGATATCGTAAAATGTGTCCCCCCGTGTACTTATTACGTCACCAAAATGTCAAAAAAAAAATTGCAGCTGTTTTTGACATATCGCATTGTAACACTTTAAAATACTCACCCTGTATACAATTAAGCTACAATACATATCTATATCTATACATAACATCGAGCGGCTGCGCTTTCAATATTACATAGAGGTTATAACTTTTTTAAAGTAGGCATGCATGTCACTTTCTAAGATATCGCTATCCGGCATCGGTACGTCGTAACATAGAACCCATACAATAAAAGATCGCTAACAAAAAATACTTTTTCATGCACCCACAACACTCCGGGCAGAAAACAACAGAAGACGTGGTTGCGTGGTGCGTCAGGGTTCATTGGGTTCAAGCTCCAAGTTCACGGATGAACAAATAGAACCCTACCGGCCCATACCTACCATAATTTGTCATCAAAAACAGATTTGTGAAAAGTAAAGTTGCGGACACGGGACAGTATATTATATAGGAAGATATCCAGTGTGTTTGACGAATATCGAAATAGAGGCGTATTCAGGGTATTTTAAGGTCGGCTTAAAAAAAAAAAACGCTCGGACACGTCATTTTTGTATTCAAGGGGGAAACTTTCCGACCCTATCGGTAATTCGCTAGGGTGCACCCCCTGGGTGGGGTGACTTTCACCCCTCCTTCTTTAGATAGGGGAGATGGGTCGAGTGGTACCTTGTTTTAAAGGTATTTTGATTCTCAAGATATTCACTGCTTACCATGGGTTAAATAAGAAACAATCTTCAGGCCGTGTTATTATGAAATTAACACTTTCCTTACTTTCCTCTCGGACACGTCAATTTTTATTTTTTGTGTGCTTCTGAAAAAAAGAAAATTGACGTGTCCGACGGGAAAGACAGGAAAGTGTTAATTTGAGAATAAGAGGGGCAGAAGATTATTTTTTATTCAGCCCATGGCAACTTTGACAGTGAATATCTTGAGAACTAATCATTCGATTTTCAAAGAAAATAAGCAGTCGAATAGATATCATTGCATCATATTTTATTAGTGAATCGATAATTCCAGTATGATTATAAGTAACATATCATATGGATATTGTGAAATATCATCTCGTTGCATCGTATCGCATATATCCCCAAGTTAGAGAGCTACTGAGCTATTATCAGCTATGCAATATAATAGCGTTGTGCGTTGTAAATAGAAAGGGACATTAGGTACATTATTTTATCACTGTTTCACCTTGTAGCGGAAGTTCAGCTATTGAAAATTGATGCACTTCGTTCGCTTAATTTTTTAGACCTTGGATAACAGGGTATTGCTCCATCAAATTCGAAAAGGCGGAGAAGTCTTGTACGTATATTCAAGTGAATCCTTTGGAAATTGGAAAATTCTGGCAGAAGTAAGATCCACCGGACATTTTAACAGTTTTGTTTATGGATGGAAGCTTCTAGTTAGAACCGACCATTCTGCCTTACAGTGACTGCTTAATTTTGGAAATGCAGAACGCGATCACGCGAAGACATTACAAAGGACGCTTCCGAATGAAACATTGCAACGGAATAGTCATCTCAACGCT